AATCAAGAGTCTCCCCAAAAAGAAAAGTCCAGGATCTGATGGATTCTCTGCTGAATTCTATCAGACCTTTAAAGAAGAACTGATACCAACCCTCCTTAAACTGTTCCACGAGATAGAAAGGGAAGGAAAACTGCCTAACACATTTTATGAAGCCAGTATTACACTTATCCCAAAAGCAGGCAAAGACACCTCCAAAAAGGAGAACTATAGGCCAATCTCCTTAATGAACATTGATGCAAAAATCCTCAACAAAATAATGGCAAACCGAATTCAACAACACATCAAAAATCATTCACCATGACCAAGTAGGCTTCATCCCAGGAATGCAGGGGTGGTTCAACATACGAAAATCAATAAACGTAATAAACCACATTAACAGAAGCAAAGACAAAAACCACTTGATCATCTCAATAGATGCAGAAAAAGCCTTTGATAAGATCCAACACCATTTCATGATAAAAGCTCTAAGAAAACTAGGAATAGAAGGAAAGTACCTCAACATTATAAAAGCTATATATGACAAACCTACAGCCAGCATTATACTTAATGGAGAAAAACTGAAACCATTCCCTCTAAAATCAGGAACCAGACAAGGATGCCCACTATCTCCACTCCTATTCAACATAGTACTGGAATTCCTAGCCAGAGCAATTAGGCAAGAAGAAGGAATAAAAGGAATACAAATAGGTAAAGAAACTGTCAAAATATCCCTATTTGCAGATGACATGATCCTATACCTTAAAGACCCAAAAAACTCTACTCAGAAGCTTCTAGACATCATCAATAGCTACAGCAAGGTAGCAGGATATAAAATCAACATAGAAAAATCATTAGCATTTCTATACACTAACAATGAGCAAACTGAAAAAGAATGTATGAAAACAATTCCATTTACAATAGCCTCAAAAAAAATCAAATACCTAGGTGTAAACCTAACAAAAGATGTGAATGACCTCTACAAGGAAAACTATAAACTTCTGAAGAAAGAGATTGAGGAAGACTATAGAAAGTGGAGAGATCTCCATGCTCATGGATTGGTAGAATCAACATAGTAAAAATGTCGATACTCCCAAAAGTAATCTACATGTTTAATGCAATTCCCATCAAAATTCCAATGACATTCATTAAAGAGATTGAAAAATCTACTGTGAAATTTATATGGAAACACAAGAGGCCACGAATAGCCAAGGCAATACTCAGTCAAAAGAACAATGCTGGAGGTATCACAACCTGACTTCAAACTATATTACAAAGCATAACAATAAAAACAGCATGGTACTGGCACAAAAACAGACATGAAGACCAGTGGAACAGAATAGAGGACCCAGATATGAAGCCACACAACTATAACCAACTTGTCTTTGACAAAGGAGCTAAAAATATACGATGGAGAAATAGCAGCCTCTTCAACAAAAACTGCTGGGAAAACTGGTTAGCAGTCTGCAAAAAACTGAAACTAGATCCATGTATATCACCCTATACCAATATTAACTCAAAATGGATCAAGGATCTTAATATCAGACCACAAACTCTAAAGTTGATACAGGAAAGAGTAGAAATACTCTGGAGTTAGTAGGTATAGGTAAGAACTTTCTCAATGAAACCCCAGCAGCACAGCAACTAAGAGATAGCATAGATAAATGGGACCTCATAAAACTAAAAAGCTTCTGTTCATCAAAAGAAATGGTCTCTAAACTGAAGAGAAACCACAGAGTGGGAGAAAATATTTGCCAGCTACATCAGACAAAGGACTGATAACCAGAATATATAGGGAACTTAAAAAACTAAATTCTCCCAAAACTAATGAACCAATAAAGAAATGGGCACGTGAACTAAACAGAACTTTCTCAAAAGAAGAAATTCAAATGGCCAAAAACACATGAAAAAATGCTCACCATCTCTAGCAATAAAGGAAATGCAAATTAAAACCACACTAAGATTCCACCTCACCCCTGTTAGAATAGCCATCATCAGCAACACCACCAACAACAGGTGTTGGCGAGGATGCGGGGAAAAAGGAACCCTCTTACACTGTTGGTGGGAATGTAAACTAGTACAACCACTCTGGAAAAAAATTTGGAGGCTATTTAAAAAGCTTTTGATCCAGCAATACCACTCTTGGGGATATACCCAAAAGACTGTGACACAGGTTACTCCAGAGGCACCTGCACACCCATGTTTATTGCGGCACTATTCACAATAGCCAAGTTATGGAAACAGCCAAGATGCCCCACACTGACGAATGGATTAAGAAAATGTGGCATCTATACACAATGGAATTTTATGCAGCCATGAAGAAGAACGAAATGTTATCATTCGCTGGTAAATGGATGGAATTGGAGAACATCATTCTGAGTGAGGTTAGCTGGCCCAAAAGACCAAAAATCGTATGTTCTCCCTCATATGTGGACATTAGATCAAGGGCAAACACAACAAGGGGATTGGACTTTGAGCACATGATAAAAGCAAGCACACAAGGGAGTGAGGATAGGTAAGACACCTAAAAAATTAGCTAGCATTTGTTGCCCTCAACGCAGAGAAACTAAAGCAGATACCTTAAAAGCAACTGAGGCCAATAGGAGAAGGGGACCAGGAACTAGAGAAAAGGTTAGATCAAAAAGAATTAACCTAGAAGGTAACACACACGCACAGGAAATCAATGTGAGTCAACTCCCTGTTTGGCTATCCTTATCTCAACCAGCAAAAACCCTTGTTCCTTCCAATTATTGCTTATACTCTCTCTTCAACAAAATTAGAGATAAGGGCAAAATAGTTTCTGCTGGGTATTGAGGGGTGGGGAGAGGAGGGGGTGGAGTGGGTGGTAAGGGAGGGGGTGGGCAGGGGAGAAATGACCCAAGCCTTATATGCACATATGAATAATAAAACAATAAAAAAAAATTTTTTTTCACTCATGAGCATAGCAGAAACTGATGAATTTGATAGTGAGGGCACAGGGGAGTGTAATCTCTACAGAGAACTCAGTCCGAGACCTGCAGCCCCATTTCCTGACAGCACTGTTTGTATCAGCAAACACTCAAACATACATCCTTAACGTGGAACCTCTAAAGCTAGAAAGAGGAGGATGGTTTTAATGAAGACGCAGGGCCCTGGGACAAAGGAGATGTTGTTCCTTGTCCCACATAACCAGCTAGCACCTGCAAGCACTGGGGATGAATTGGGAAGGAAGATTCTCCAGTAGCTCTTGGTGTTTTTGAATTTGAATGTGAAGGTACTACCAGATTTAAATGCAAGTAACATTTAAAAGTTAAAGTCCTCTGGCACTTCCACACAGCTGTATTAGACTGCTGCTCACAGGCCAGCACGGGGCTGCTGACCGTGGCTCACTGCTGCGAGGCAGAAGCCGGGTCTGACCTTTCACTGCCAACTCCACATCCAGGCATCTATCTCAGAAAACGTTTATTAGAGACAAACAAAAAGATGTCTTATATAAAAAGCTAATCCATATAAATGTAAAGTCTAAAAGACAATAGACCAAACAGGCTGTATTAACTGTAGTGGGTGAGGCTATCAATTCTGATGTTCTTTTATGCTATTTTCTAACATTTTTGATAACTTATGTCTTTTTTTTTTTTTTGTGGTACTGGGGTTTGAACTCAGGGCCTCATATTCATTAGGCAGGTGCTCTAAGTCACTCCACCAGCCCTGTTTTGTGTTGAGAGAGGGTCTCACAAACTCTTTGCCCTAGCCCTCCTGACCCTCCTTATCTCTGCCTGAGTAGCAAGGATTATAGGCGTGAGCCACCAGTACCTGGCCTGTAATTTCATTTTTAAAAGGTTGCTTCACACAGAATCAATTTCTTCCAAAAAAGAAAGTATTTACACATATAACAGCAACAGTTAGTAAAAACTTAAAATACCCAATAAATAAGACATGTCAAATAACTGCAAAAGGCTGAGTGTGGTGGCACATGCCTAAGATCTTGGCACTCGGGAAGCTGAGGTAGGAAGGCCTTGAATTGCAAGCCAAGCCTGGAGTACAGAATTGAGACACTGTCTCCAAACAAACAAAAACAAAAACCCAGTAGTGCATGTGTGGAACCCATCAATCAAGCTAATTTAAATATTTAAATAAAAGGATCAAGAGCAGTCAAAATCACCTTGGAGAAGAGTAAGAGCAGCCCTGCTTAATGAATGTGGCAATGTGGGGAAGTGGCTGAGATGGAGCAGTGCTGGCAGAGGCAGATGGACAGACAGATGCCACCAGGCCCATACATACTGGTACTCCATGGACTAAGACGAAACCAAACCTCTCCTGTGTACCAGATGAGTTAATACAGTTGGGTCACAAAGACTAATCCAAAAGGCCAAAACCATATAGCTTTTAAAAAGAAATGTAGAATAAATTCATGACTCCAGAGATTTCTTTAGACCCAAAACAGCATCTAATAAAGATTTGTAAATTTGATTAAAATTAGAAACTATTCACCAAAAGATGAGGGGGATGAGGGTAACAGACATTTGCAACCAGTAAGTGATAAACAAAGAACTACAAGTGAGGGAGGGGCTGGCAGACTTGCTCAAGTGTTAAGAGTGCCTGCCTAGCAAGCGTGAGGCCCTGAGTTCAAATCCCAAACTGCCCAAAAAACCAAAGTCACAACAAAAAAACCATAGTCAACTGCACAACACACACACATACACAAACACACAAAATGATCCAGTCCCATGAAAATCAGAACGGGAAAAACTGAGCAAGCGAGTGGCTTTTAAGCATACACACAGATGGCAGAGCTACAGGCAAAGTGAGAAAAGGACTGTCACAATTCAGGACTGTGGCTCCCCTCTGAGGAGACAGAAGCATAGTTGGGAGACTTTGGGGACAACTAGGAGCCTGGCAAGGGTCAGTTTGCTTAAACTCCACATGGGTACAATTTAAATTGAATATTTAACTCAATTTAATTCTCTTTGTAACTAATTCGACTATGAAATCAGGATCACCCATGTCCCTGGCAGTTACTGTTGCAAGGCAAGAGCCTGGTGCACCTGGGGTTGACCTCCAGAGTGGGCTGGAGCAGCTGGGCGCGTTCCTCCTGGGTCTTGGCCAGCTGCTGCATGCGCAGGAAGTGCCGGGCGGCGCCCATCTCTAGCACGGTCACCATGGCAGGATGGGTGTCCAAGGCGGAGAGTTACCTGCAAGCGAGGCGAGGGTGAGAGGTCTGGGGCTGGTGGGGTCCCAGGGACAGCCCCTTACAGCTTGGGGCTGGCTCCCTCCCTCTCTATCATCCACTAGGGAGGGACCCCCGTGTGAGGGCACTGGGCCTACCTGGGGACTGTCTACTCCCAGAGGCCAGTGGGTTCCAGTGTCTGAGCATTAAAGCTGTCTTGCCTGGCACTGTTCTCACCTTGGTCCTCCACAGACCCTAGCTCTGGCCCAGGACCCAGCCTTGGGGCAGGTCCTTCTCTGAGGTCCTTCCTTTGCCTGTTCCTATCCTGCAGACCACTGTCTCCTGTCTCCCTCATCAGGATGAGACACCTTCCTAGATCGCAGCTATGGTGCTTTGAGCTACTCAGGCCAGAGACTCTCCCTGCCAATGGGGAAGAATGCTGTGAGCCAATTCCATCCCCACTCTCCAATGTCCACTTGTGGTACTGTTTCCTCATCAGAGCCCAGGGACAAGTTACCAAGGCCTAGTGAGCTGGCATTTATAAGTAGGAGTGTCAAGGGATCCTGTGTGCATGTCTTGGCTCCCAACGTCCTGGATGCAGTTCCTTCTCTTAGACCAAGGGCAGCCCTCATGTCACCTCCTCCTGTACTGCCTGAGCCCATCCTATACACCTGCCTCTCTTCTGGGGCCACTCCTGCATCCTGCCGAGCCTGGGCCCTGCACAGGATGACCCTTCTTTGCTGGTTGTCATTCTAGCTCTGAGCTAGACTGGCAGGTTCTTAGCCCTCTGAAGCCCACCCAGGAACACACTAAGGGAGAAGGCAAGCACCTCTTGGGCTGGGATGGTCTGTCCCTTCTTTGGAATCCCTGCTTCAGTGCCTGTGGTGGGCACTGAGGGCTATGGCGGCCAGGTGATAACCCATCCCAAGAAGACCTCACCTTCACATTGGCAACTCGAGACCCCAGTGCGTTCCTCATCCAGGCCATCAGCTCCTCTGTCTCCTTCTCGGACAGGCGCTCACCAGCTGCAGAAGAGCAGGCATGAGCAGGCCCAGGGGTTGCTGCCCAGAGCCCTGCTTGGTGGGCTCCACTCAGCATGTCCTTGGGGTGTCTCCAGCCCTGTCCTCCTCACCCACTGGGACAGAGAAGCTCCTGGAAACATGTTTTATCTACAGTGAAAACCTCAGGATGCGATTTTTTTTTTTTTTTAAAGGGGTTTAACAAGACAATTCCGGTTCTGTAAGGAAGTGTGCTCAACCAGAAACAGCCGGGGTAAGGAGCATCAGAGAGGACCTTAAGGTTTTCCACCAACTACAACAATGCTCACAAGCAGCTGCCTTCAGTGGCCCCAGACCCAAATGAGAGAAAACCCCATGGGCAGGTCAGGAGAGACACTGTAGGACCTAGCCCCACGTAGCTCTGTCTGTCACCCATGCTCTGGAGAGGGATGAGAGGCAACCTGGGGACGTGTCCTCGAACTTCTCCTCCTTATAGTGATCAACGACAATGTCTGTCTCCACTGAGATTAGCTTCTTCTTGTCAAACTCGCGTAGGTGCAACAGGGTGAGCTCATCGAACTGCTCATAGCAGAAGAGGACCTGTGGGCACCCCAGACCCTATATCAGCCTGTGACAGACAGCAGAGGGAACCCCTCATGGGGACTCTGGAGCTCCTGGCCTGAGGGACAGTTCACCAGAAGGTTCTGAAAGAGGCTCTGGCTGCTTTGGTAGTTTTGAGCAGAGAACCCACTCATCACCTACTGGAATCACAGCCACCACACAGATGTGCACCTGCCTCCCGGGCCTTGGCCACATTCAGCCAGTTTCTATCAAGTACAGAGGCAGGAGGTTCGAGGTCCTCCCTCAGAGCTCAGACCCCAGGAGCCCAGCCATGCTGCTCACTCACCTCGGTGTGCTTCTGCTTCATGGCCTCATAGTATGGCGAGTGCTCAGCCAGGTGCCGGCTGGGTGCACAGAGGTAGTAGATGTTACGGGTGCCGGCCTGCATGCGGCTGGCATACTCCGACAGACTGGTCAGCTGCCCGGCAGGCAGTGCTGAGGACTCGTAGCGCAACAGCTTTGCAATGTCCTCCTGCAGGCATTCACAGACAGATCACAACTTGCTGCAGGTCCAGGTTCCATCTTCTACCCCGCAAACTACAGGTGTCACCAGCTCCCTGCTCTGGCGGCTGTGGTGGACTCTTGGATATTCCCAGACAGGCCTCACTCTGCCCATGAGCCCCACTTGAAGAAGTACAGGTCCTTGGGGGCGCCTTTCACACCATGTGGCCCAGGGCATCCCAATGAGTCTGTATACCCCACCCTAGGGAGGGCTAGAGCCCAGCCACGGCAGACCTTGCTCCTGACCCCAGTGTCTTTCCTCTATCTTCAGCAACAGCCCCTGCTTCTGTGGCACCTAGACAGGAAGTCCAGCCTCCCTCACAGCCAGTGGTGGCTGGGTGATTAGCTCTGGCCAGTGGGGGATGTCAAAGTCGACCCTGAAGAATGGGTCTTAGGAGGCTGATGCAGATTCACATCTGCACAGACCCAGCATTCTGGACATCACTTTGTCCAAGCCATTGTCATTTCTGACTGTCTCAGCACTGAGGGCAGCAGGTAGCACTGTAATCTTCAGAAGGCTGCAGAAACCACCCAGGGACAGGTCCCAAGTTGTGCTGTGCCTGGGACTCAAGTGGACAGGAGCAGATGAACAGGAAAGACAGGGACAGGGAACAGCCCTGGCAAGGCACGACTGCCGTCCACAGTCCTAACATGCAGGTTTGGTTACCATGCTTTGGGGCCATGCTTGTGCTGGTATATGGTCTTCACTGGCAGCTCAAATGCCTGTAGGGCAAGGGTAGTCATCTTGACTATATGGATAGATGCCTACGAGATTAGTAAAGTCCACCTCTGGGTGTCTGTGAGGGTGATTCTACAGAAGGCAAGACCCACCTTGGATGTGAGTGGCATCCTCCTGGAGGCTGGGGGCCCAGATGGAATAAAGGGAGGAAAGAAGAAAGCAGGACCAGCAAAGTGGCTCCAGTGACAGAGCACCTGCCTGGCAAGCATGAGGCCTTGAGTTCAAACCCCAGGACCACAGAAAAAAGGCCCAGGAGCCCAGCATTCTGTTCAATGGTCAACAGTGACCAGTGACTGGGTGTCGGCTGCCCCATCCAGCCTCCTCTGCAACACCAGGACCGAGGCAGACCACAGAAAGGCCCAGAAACCCAGCCTACCTTAACCTCTTGCTCTGCAGTCGTCACAATGCCCTCCCTCATGAACAAGCCATAATCTTCAAAAAACTTTGTGTATTTCTCAGCATCTTTTTTGCTCTGGTCAATGAAGAACTTTATTAGCCTCTGCTGTAGGACATCCCGGAGTTTCCTATAGAACAGAATTAACTGACCATAAGCAGGAGCTTCTGGGAAGTATGAGGGCCAAAAGAGCACAGAGGAAGTTCAGCCCACCAAGGAGCTTAAGGACTGAGTAGCAGGAATCCCTGGGAGGCCGCAGAGTGGGAGGCTAAGGGGAGAGTGCTTCCCCATGCAAGCAGCAATGAGAACTGCTGCCACCTTCGTGAAGACAACCAGCAACAGACACCTAGAGAATATTTCTACCACTGCCAGTTCCAATTGTGGAAACCATGCATCAGAAATATCAAGAGCACCGAAACATTTGGACCAGGCCTTCCACTGTGGCACATGACATAAAGAACAATTGAGAACAAACACAGTGTTCAATGGAAGGGAAAAATGCCCCACTGCATGGCCACTAAAAGTCACATCTGACAATCCTAGTGACATGAAATGCCTGTGTTGAAAGAAAAACCAGGAAAATCTCTACATGGATAAATTCCAGTATGGCATCCATACCTGTAAAAACTATCCTCTCCCTGTGCATTATTTTCCATAAGTAGGATCAGCACTACACATGCTATCCACGCACTCTATCGCTTGCACTTAAACTCAACGCACTATGTGCACACCGGAAATTTAAAACGTGGGACTCTGCGGGTCAGGGTGTTTGCTGTAGCAACACCTCAAGGCCTAAATTACAGCAACGTTGTTAGTGGCATCAGGGCCACACTTCCTTCTCTGTATCTTGCCTTTCCTTTACAAAGGTGCAATTACAATGTATCTCCTTCATGATGCAGGACAGGGGAACTAAGCCCATTTAAAAGCTTTTCCTCCTGCACTTCTGTTCTGAGTGGCTTGTCCTTCATCTTTCAGTCTGTCAGAATGGGACAGGGGTAGACGTCCTCACCTGCAATGGGCCACAGAGCCCCAGGACAGGGTGGATGTCCTACAGGCACAGTTATGAAAGAGATGCTATGATGGAACTCAGTGCAGCTCCGTGACCTTCCATTGGGCTAAGCCCTCAGACAGCAATCTGGCCTCTGACAACCACAGCAGCAATGAGGTGGGTGAGCCCCCTCACTGCAGCTCAGGCCCCACTCCAACCCTGAGCACTGGGGTACAGAGCAAAAAGCCACAGTTCTGACACACGGGCTTGGTTACTATCAAGCACAACCTCTCTGCAACTCGTACCCCATAACTGTGACACAGGCACCTGACTGCTGCCACATCTGAGATACAAGGGGCTCTGAAAAAGGCTTGGCACAACCCTTGGGGAAGAACAGGCAGGACTGCTACAGTCAGGCTGGGGATACACGGACACAGCCCCTTGGCCCTTTGGATCCGGCGCTGTATCTCCACATGAGTGTCCAGCCCAGTCTCATCTCACGAGAGCTCCTCAGGCCCAGGTGAGCAGCTACTTTTGACCCCTTGCCTCATCCATGGCAAGATGTCCTTTTATGAGGCATGGGGCCTGGAATCTCCCTGAGCAAGGCTACAGAGGAGCCAGGTGGTGGGCATGGGCCATGGGTGAAACACCTCCTGTTCTTCAGAAACAGCACCCAACCCTCTACGTCAACGTGAAGGAAAACAGGCACAGCCCAGACTCGAGGCCTTCAGAATACCCTCCTGAAAACACACGCAGGCGTCTTCTACCAGCAACGGAGAACTGCCACTAAGGAGCGCCTGAACTGCCCTGTCCTGCTCAGCATGCGCGTGCCCCAGAGCAGCACTGCCAATGAAGAGAAGGGCCCCATCACCCGTAAGGTGCTGAAGCACACTGAGAGCCTTTCTCCATTTATTATGCATCTGTATCAACAGGGAACAGCTTGAGTCCTACCCTGAAGGACTCGATAAAAACAGTAGATCCCTGAGATGCTGCTACGCAGTTGTTAAAAGTGCTTCTCAACAGACGAACACGGCAGCACCAAAAATAAACTGTTATATAGAAAAAAAAGAAACAGTACAGTACAAATGTGAATTCAATTATGTTAAAAGCTGAAACTGTCTATGTGGCAGTGTCTGCTTCAGAGGTGGGTGGCAAAGGACGCTTTGGGCAGCACCGAGTTGGGGTGCAGAAGGCACTGGGGCTGAGAGGGACCTGGGATTCTCTCTGAGCTGGCTTCTCAGCATCCCGAGAACATTCGTCCTCCACCTGGGAAGCTGGACGCAGCCTGTGAGGCTCCACTCAAGGCACACCAACGCTGCATCTCATTCTCCCACAGCAACTTGGAAATTTGCTAAGGTCACACTTTCAATTTTGTTCTCAGTCACATACCTGCCCTTACCTAGGCTGTCCATTTACTGCAGACTGAAACATAAACAGTGGCAGGTTAGGATTATAGATGAAGCACTCCTTTCACCAGGGAAGCAGAGTCAGAACACACAGAAAGATTTGGAGATGGAGTAGAGCGAGGTGCGTGGCAATGTGGATGGACAGTCCTGAGCTGAGCGCACAGGCCCGACTTGGCCCTGTCAGAGCCTTGGACTCTGCCCCTCTACACCTCAGCCTTGGTGGTGATCAGCCAGTCCCAAATTCTTTTAACCACAGACTGAGCTGTTCAACATTAGGCATCAGAGGCCAGGCCCAGGGACCTGGAAGTCCACTGAGGGAGCCCAGCCTTCATGCCCAGCTTCACCAGGCTTTAGTCTTTGTGTTCTGCTCTCGGCTCCTGTAGGTCATTCCTGGCTTACCGGATGAGTGCACTCTCCTGCAGGAGCTCTCGGCTGAGGTTCAGGGGATGTCCTCACTGTCCACCACACCTGAGAAGAATAGTGCAGGTTAGACCCTCCCTAAGCCTGTGGCCATCTGGCCAGTGGCAAAGCCCTCCACATGTGGAAAGAGGGGAGCAAGGAAGATGGGGCTCCTCCTCCATCTTCTGCTTGCCCCCCGATGGACATAAACCTGGGCACAAGACATGGTCTGAGGGCAGTTCTAGCCTGTAATCCCAGGACTTGGGAGGCTGAGGTTAACAGGATCATGACTTCGAGGCTGGCCTAGGCTACACAGTGAGACATTGTCTCAAAAAAAAAAAACCAACTAAGTATATCACAGATAGTGTGTGCCTTTGTACTATGACACTGAGGTCTAAACACTTCTTTACTAAACTATAATCTCAAATTCAATGCAATTAAGTCTGAAAATCATATAAAATTTCTAAACACAGAAACAACTCACCCTCCACCCCCAAGTCAACTATGGCCATTGCTGAGGCTGCAGAGCTCCCCAGAGGCTCCGGGCTGCTTTCCCTGGCTACTTTTTGGACACTGTGCTGTGCTTAGTCACATTCAGTAGAGATCATCCTAGAGCCAGACCAGCAGCACATTCTGCAAATGCACCTGGCGACATGGGCCACCATACCTCGAATGAAACGCAGCCACTTGGGCAGGATTTCTGTGGCCTTGGTCTGGATGAGGACCTTGCGGCTGTAGAGTGCAATGCTGGAGCCCAGCTCCCTGCTCACATCAAACATGGATGGTTTCTGGGGGTGAGAAAAGGATAAGGTTGGGTGACAATGCCAGAAACCCTCCACCTCAGTCACAGGGAGGCAGAGCCCAATGGCGGCATGCCCAACAGCCAGCAGCATTCAGGGCCGCCACAGGCGACAGCTCAGCACAAGAAAGACCAGAGGAGCGCACACACCGCTGCCATCCTCACACTTCCACCGTGGCTACTCTGCCGGAAGCCTAAAGTCCAGGAAGGCCCTCCCATGACACCTGCCCCCAGGTTCTGCAGGGGTGGCCGGCCTTTTCTGAACACTTCTGCCCACCTGATCCATTAATTTTATGGAGGACATAAAGAGATGCCATCAGCACAGCCAACCCGTGCTCTGGGCAGGGCCAGCAAACCATGACCCACAGGCCGGATCCAGCTCACTGCCTATCCACGTGGGCCTGACAACAAGTTTTATATTTAAATGGTTGTTGATAAAAATCAGACAGGAATATTTCATGGCGTGAGAAATGATGGGAAATTCGTGGTTCAGTGTCCATAGGCTCACTGGGCCCCTCCTCACAGTTCAGAGGCGCCATCTGCTGACTACGTGGCTACAAAGCCAAAACTAGTGCTCTCTGCTCTCAGAAAATGCCCTCTAGGGCCAGCCTTGCCTCAGCACTAAGTCCAGTTGCAATGTGGCTGATGGGGGGAAGGGGGTGGGGGCCCAGAGGTCTCACCCAGTGGGTGAGACTTGGCATTCATTTTCCTTTTTTTGGTGGTATTAGGATTTGAACTCAAGGCCGTGCACTTGCTAGCCAAGTGCTCTACCACTTGAGCTATGCTCCCAGTGCTCATTTGCTTTAGTTATTTTTTGAATAGGTCTCACTGTATGCCTGGACTGGCCTCAAACTGTGACTCCTGATCTCTACTTCCTGAATAGGTGGGATAACACCTGGCTCACCTGGCTGAGACCTGGCATTTCTAACAAGTCCCAGGGATACGGAGCCTCTGGTCTGCAGACCTTGCTTGGGGTTTAGGAAGACCCCGCCCAGCTTTCCCAAACAGATACTAAGAAATGGGCACTGTGAGGGCTGGTGAGGTGCAGGCAAGAGAGGCTGGGGACCAAACTCCAATTAGACCTCTGCAGGGTTCACAAGAGCTCTATTGTGGGCGTGAGCAAGGGGAAGGTGAGGGACGCACAGAGGTACATGGAGCCCTTTCTAGAGAATCTTGTGTAAAGTGTCCACAGCCCTGTCCTGAGTTGCCTGTGCTCAGAGGGCCCCTCTGGCCACCCTAAGCCAGTCCCCATCCGTGAATGCCTGCAATGAAAGATGTCACGTAAAATGCCCCCTCCTGTGCACAACCCAGGGGAGACTGAAAACCCTGCCCCTTCCCTCTAATGCAGAGGCCTCTGCTTTTCTTCTGCTCCAATTCTGCCAGTCAATTGTGGGGCACAGAGTTGTCACCATGGTGGAAACTACTGTGGCCACGGGGTGCCCTGCTCCAGGGCAGTGGAGTGGCTTTGCAGCCCAGCACTCCTGGGCTGAGCCAAGCTGAGCCCTCACCGTCTCTGGCACGTAGAAGATGCTCCGGATGTTGAGTGGTGCATCTGTCTTGTAGTGCAGGGTGTAGCGAGGCTTGTCATGAGCCTGGGAGATGTAGCGGTAGAACTCCTCATGCTGGAGCTCAGTGACATCCTTCAAATCCATCATCCAGATGGCCTGAAATGGAGACCCAACAGTGATGGCATGTTTAAAACATGTCTTCCCAACAGGGTGTGGAGTGAGCTAGAGGAGCACATGCCCCTGGACTGGCCACCATGACAGGCTGGCAGGGGTCCCAGGTGCAGACCCCTCTGCATTCCCAAGTGCCAGCCTCCAATTCTGGGATGGGGAAGGTAAGGGGAGACACAGAAAAGGTTCTGGAACAAGCGCACACACACCCCTCCATTCCCCAGGACAGCATCGGGAAGGGCTGATGAGGAAGCCAGAGTTGATGGTGCCTGTTAGAGATAATGATGCTGTTTACCCATGGGTGAGCTGATGAATTCAATGGAGTATCACTCAGCCATGAAAAGGCAAGAGGCACTGACACGTTACATGGCAGAACCTTAAAGACATCAAGCTCAGTGAAAGGCAAAGTCAAGAGACCACGTACTGTGTGAGCACTCAAAGTGGGCAAATCCAGACAGAGAGTAGCTCATGGCTGCCAGGTCTGGGGAAGAGGAGCAGAGGAGAGGTCCAATGTGGTAAGGCTCCTCTGCAAAGGGATGGCAGTGTTCTAACGCTAGCTGTGGACTCTCACCATCACTCGAACGCTTGCTGAATGGGTGACTGAGGTGGTGTTTGAATGACACTTCAAGAAGCCCTGAGCCCAAGGTGGTCCAGAATGGGGCTGGGGAGTCTACCTGAACCCCCAAATCTCATGTCTCTTGTGATTCTGGGCAGCATCCCCAGGTGTCCTCTCTGCCCCTTCATCCTTGAAATGTGTCAGTTCATCTGCATGGCTGTCCAAGCCCTGCAGGCAGCCCAGGACCTCACCTGCAAGGTGTTAATCCGTCTTCCATTAAGGTACAGGGGGAAGCTCACAAAGTTACTGTACTTTGTTACCACATCTGCAGGAGATAGATACAATGGTAAAGACACACAGCCCCAGAAACAAAGGCAGATCTCTAGGTGCACAGTGCCTGCAGGGAAGGGCCCACCCACGCTGTGCCCATTTCAGGAATGCAGGACCAGGGTGCAGCAAGTACACCCATCCTCCCTGCTGAACGCATGGCAGCAGCGGCAGAACCTGAATGGAAAGGAGACCTCCTGGGGTGCAGTCCACTGAGACCACAAGACCTTCTGGTGGCAGAGGATCTGGCTTTAGGGGTTACCGGCAGGTCCCAGGAGGGCTCAAGGCTCTCCATTAGCTTTCAAGGACAGCTGGACAGAGAGGTGGCCTGCAAAAGTGCTCACCGCCCTCTGGAGTTTGGGACGCCTGAGCTCCGAAAGTTCCATCAGGCAGGGACAGGAAGCCCTGGGACCTCCTGCAGGGCAGACTTTATCATACCCGCCAAGTTTACAAATGGCTTCGTGCCCTTTGTGCTAGCAAGCCCTGCCTTCAAGCTCTCCAATGTAGGGTCAGCAGGCACTCCATCTCTACACACTCAGGGGCCAAACAGGAAGCCCAGCCCTTCCCAACTGTGCCCACATCCCTCGCCCAGGCAAGTCTAGTAAAACGTGCCTGTGATGCCCACGGGGGATCCAGCCCCCACTCACCTCGCACGCGGGCCTCGCTGGCAAACTCTCTGCAGTCTGATTTGAGGTGGATGATTATCTTGGTCCCAGTTCTAACTCCCGAAGCTTCGGAGATTTCAAACACTCCAGAACTAAGATATACGGCAAAGGAAAAGCCAGTTCCACACATCAGTGCCTATAAAACCCTGTGCAGCAAATTCAGTCACTTCCCTGGGGTTTTCACAAGCAGAGCCCAAGCCAGCACACAGAAGAGAGGGAGACCACAAGTACCCTGTTTCTTTTTGAGTTGGGGTCTTGCTATGTAGCCCAGACTGGTCTTGAACTTGAGATCCTCCATCTCAGCCTCCCTCAGTATGGGAATTATAGATGTGTGACACCATACCCAGTTCCCCTGTTCCTGGACCTGGCAAAGTCCTTCAGGTCACCGAACAGACATCAGGGATAAGGACAGTTTTTCCACGGTGTGAGGCACAAGCCCCAGGCATTCAGGGGTTCTACCGCCCTCCAGGAGAACCTACTGGGTTTGTGGGACCTGAAAGCAACCCTGGGCTGCCCTGGGATCTGGCCCAGGTCGAAATCAGCACCAAATGGCTGGAGGAAAACAGAGGCCAACCCTGTGCTATTCTCATTCTGGCAGAGGCCAGGAGCTCTGAGAAGAGCAAAAACCATTTCAGAAATGCAACAAGAGGGGAGGCCCCAGATGCGGTTTTGCTGGCACCCTGGTCATGTCCCTATGAGCACTGCTTTCATAGAAATCTGTTTGGAGAGAGGGAGGAGTCAGCTATGTTTTAGCCAGGCCTTCTGCCCGAGGTGAGCTGCAGATGCAGCTCAGAACACATAATTCAGAAATCAAGTTTTAGGGCCAACTAAAAAAATATGTTTAAATTTGGCTGGGGCACTTTTCCCCTCACATGTGGTGTAAAGGTAGTCTGGACATTCGCCTCATTAACTAGTCAGACCCTGTGCGTGTGGGAGAAGAAACAAGCATCTCTCTTGACTGGACGGAGACTGATGATGAGGCCACTTCCACGCACACTCACCCTGCTGAGCCAAGGTCAGGTGCTGAGTCGAGGCCAGGACACTCAAGGGTGGGGAAGAGCCAGAGGGCTCCCACAGCACCAGGCCAGGGGTCGCATGCAGGGCAGGGACACCAGGGAGAGTCCCATCCTAGTGCCAACCACAGAAGAGTTCACCCTGAATTGGCCAGCATCACAGAACAGTGACCGGTGACCAGCCCCTCACACCAAAATAGCCCAGAAAACGCCTCTTCGCAGTAAAGTCTCTTTCCAAACTCAGTGGTAACAGCCAATTTGCATGTCAGGTGATGCCTGACTCCACGTGTACCAAGGGACAGGGATAACTGCCTGTGTGAGGTGGGCCCACTTCCACTCACCCATCTGAAAGCCACCGGTAACCTGGGCTCCCTGGGGCCGCCGAGCGGGAATAAACCTCAACTCTGTCAGCTACCATGAAGGCCGAGTAGAAACCGACTCCAAACTGGCCGATGATCTTGCTGCTGGCCTCTGCCTGACTCTGCAGTGCTTCTAGAAAGGCCTATGGTAGCAGAAGATGGTTAAAGGGAGGCTGCTCCCATGTGCACAGGGAGCTGACATCACGATTATTGTGTATGTTCCTCTCCATAAGCCAAGAGCCCAATTAATCTCTGAACAGCTACACTGGTATCCGCCACCCATGTGACAAAGAACTAAGCCACAGGGAGGTAGAGCAAGCTGCCTTGACCCAGCTGGGCCGAGGTGTGATGGGGCTGCTCTCCACACACAAAGCCTTCACTCCTGCCCATCACAGAAAACTGCAGCCCTGCGGTCATGCCTGGGGGGAAAAGAGGCAGCTTCAGTAAGCAAAGTAAGCACGTCCACCCTGCAGGTCAGTGGGCAAAGTGAGAACTCTGCTGTGTGTCCTCGGCTTGTCTCCTAGACGCTAAGCCTCATCGTCCCTTGGTATCCCGGGGGATGGTTCAGAACCCCAAAAGATACAAAAGTCCCTGGATGCTCAAGTCCCATCTATAAAACGACACAGGATTTACAAATATGTCCTATGCATATCCTTCCCTATGCTTGATGTCATCTCTAGACTACTGGAAATAGCTAAAGCAACATAAATGCTGTGTGACTAGTTACTACACCACGCTGTTCAGAGAATCGTGACAAAGAAAGTCTGCATGTGTTCAGCATAGATTGTTTTTCAAATATTTCCACATGGAGGTTAACTGAACCCAAAGATATGGAGGGAAAACTACATGTTGTCACATGGCATTGTGCAGGGCTGGCCCATTCTACACTAATGTTACCAACATGTCAGACAAAACAGCTCTGCTGAGGCTGCCAGAATGTCCTGTGCCAGAAGCACCTGAAATGTGGCTAGGGCAACTGAGAAGCTATTAACTATTTCATTTTAATGTGTTTAAATTTAAGTAGACACACACAGCCAGTGGCTGCTATACAGGACAATGGAGACCATCCTTGGTAGAAAAAAACAAAGAATTTCCTGGCAGAGTCCCAGTTACAGACGTTTCTTAAAAGTGGGATTTCTGTGAGTCTCTCCGGACCAATGATGGCACCACTTACACAACAAAAAGAAAGAGGCTCCAGGAGAGGTGGGAAGGACCTCTGGACAGACCATCTTGTCTTCTCAGCGCTGGCTTCTGTCACACCAGCAGCCAAACAACTCACAAACGGCTGGGTGTTCCCCAAAGCAGTTCCCAGCAGAACCACCACACCTACAGGACAGTGGCCCATGCTTATTTTTGTGAAGGTCATTGCCTGGAGAAGGCCACCTATTTCTGCTGGCTGTCTGTGTTGGGCCCATGCAGCTCAGGTAACAGCCCAGTGCTCACTTCATAGAAAAGCATCAGAGGTCAAGGGCACATCCTAGACTCAGATCGACAGGCTTTGAGCCCGCCTCCCACCAGTCTGCAGCTCTGGGCAGAGCACACACTTCAACCTCTCCTCTATTAAAATGGGAACACTAACAGAAATGACTGACAGGTCCCTGTGACACTGCAGAGACACAACGGTGCAAGTGTCCCCACACTGTCCACACCACAGTGGAAAGGCAACACTCTGGGCTGTGCTTACCTTTGACCCTGATCTGGCAATTGTGCCCAGGTTGGATACCAGCTCCTCCTCTGTCATCCCGATGCCAGTGTCCTGAGGAGAGACACACAGGGCCAAACAGTCCCTGAGGAGCTGAGGCGAGGTACACAGACAGCACCAGGGGCACAGATGGCCCCAGCATCTGACAGGATCTGAGAAGCATACTACACACCAGAAAAGCCCAAATCCAGCCCCGTCAGCCCCACCGCATCAGAGAAAACCAGAAGGGGGAGGGGATTCCTCACTAAGACAACCCTGGAGCTGGGGTGTAGCTCAGTGGCACAGAGCATGCAGGAAGTCCTGGGTTCCATGCCCAGCACCAAAACATCAAAGTGAACGAAAACAACCCGGGACAATGTTAAGTCAGAAAGTTAGAGGAAAACGGACAACTTGTCACTGAGTGGTAGCTCTGTCTACACCCCCTGCCTGACTCTGACTGTCCTTTTATGACTCTCTTGATCCAGAAGAAAAACTGACTTAAGTGACTACAACTGTGGGGCCATGTGGAATGCAGGTCATCGGTGGCAGCCTAATCCTACAGCCTGGCCCAGAAGGCACAGAGTGTGGATCTGCTCTGAATGTTGGTGCCTTCATCCCTATGCTGACTTTCAGCCTCCAGGTTTGATGTTAGGACATGGGCCACCCCTCAGGAATGCAATCAATGCACTTATAAAACAGGCTTGACACAGATACCAGATCTGCTGGCACCTTGTGGACTTCCCAATATCCAGAACTGTGACAATAATTTCTGTTGTTTAGGAATTATCCAGTCTAAGGTATGTTGTAATAGCATCCCAAACAGACTAGGGCCAAGGACACTATACCTGTTAAAACTCAAGGGCTTAGCCACCACAGCTCTTCCTAGTTCAAAGTCCAGCCAGGCCCCAAATGGAGCTCCTCTTTCCCTATCACAGCAATGCTAACTGCAGCCTGGGCTCAGGGTGCTGCAAGGCACACAATACCCAACGCAAGGCAGCTTGCTACTGAGCACCCATCGGCTTATGAGGTGGGAAAGCACCCAGAGCAGTTTCTGCTTCCCTCCTGAGACAGTCTGTGCCGTAGGCAGAGCAGGGCTCACCAATCAAATCAACAAGAACCACAGGCACAGTGCCAGGTGAGGACGCACAACACTTAACCTGTAACAGGGCAAGAAGATATGCCAGCTGCAAACAGTCCAAGATCTCTGAGCACCAAAGAGCTTGTGTTACATGGGCCCAGGACCAACAAGAAACAGGACACCAAGAGGCTTGCAGTGAATTCTCTCTGAGGTACTGGTAGAAGAGTCCAAAATCTGGCCATACCCATTTATTGTGCAACATGTAATAATAATAAATAAGAACTATTTAAAATGATTTCTAGCTGATACTACTCACTAAACATAATTTACATTGAAACGTTTACTTCAAAATACAATAGAATTTTCAGCAAAATCCTTAAGAAAAAGGTTTGTGCTAGATGCTGGTGGCTCACGCCTGTAATCCTAGCTACTCAGAAGGCAGAGATCAGGAAGATCACAGTTTGAGGCCAGCTCAGGCAAATAGTTCATGAGACCTTATCTTGAAAGTGGTAGAGCACCTGACCTAGCAAGTTTGAGGACCTGAGTTCAAACCCCAGTACTGCCAGAAAAAGAAAAGAAAATGCATCTAATAGTTTTTTTTTCCAAATTATTTTGACTTTTCCCCAAACTAATTTATGGATTCATTGCAATCCCAATGAAAATCTCTACAAGTTTTATAGGAAATGAGAAGCTGATTCTAAAATTTCTACATAAATACAAAAAAACCTAAGAATATTTTGATAAAGAACAAAGTTGGAGAACCTACACTTCCTAATTTTAAGACTAGCTATAAAGCTGTAATCCGGAATAGAACCATGCCAACAGTGCGCCATGATAATTCAATGGCATGGAAGTCCAAATAGATGGTGCTGAATCCACTGGACAACCACACACAGAACGACTCTCAGCCCTTAGCTCACACCATGCACAAAAATTTGCTTGACGGCTGGGATGCTTGCTCAGCGTGCGCAAAGGCCTGGGCTTTACCCCAGCACGGCAAAAGAAAAAATCCTTTTTCATTTGAAATGGATCACAGATCTAAATGTAAGATCACAGATCTAAATGTGAGAGCTAAAGGTACAACACGTGTAGAAGAAAACAGGAAAAAAAAAAAGCACAGGAGAAAATTTTTTGTCTTTGGAAGAGGCGAAAATTTCCTACACATGAAGAGCATGAAGCATAAAAGAAAAAAAAAAAAGAGAAACATATTTCTTTGAAATTAAAACTTTGGGCTGGGAGGTGTAGTTCAGAGATATAACACTTGCCCAGCATTTGAGAGGCACTGGCTAGGTTAGATATCCAGCACTGTAAAAAACAAAACATCTCCCCTCCAAAAAAAACACCCCAAACTTTTGCTCTTCAGGAGAATCCACTAAGATAACAAAAGGCCAACCATAGACTAATAATTTTAAGTTTCTTCTGCCTCTTGTTTTCCAAGTTTCCTATGATGGGTGAATGAAAAGAGGAATCCTCAGAGCAGGAAAGAGTCAGCATGTCGCTTGTGCTACACAGAACTCGAAGCCAGGGTGCAAGGCCTCCCTGTGTCACCACAAGGCAGAGCTGCTGCTCACCAGGCCAACCTGGTCATGCTCTGTGGGCAGGAAGTGTGCCGCGCCTGGGTACCTGGATGGTGATGGTGCCTTTCTCAGAGTCAGTCTGCAGGTGAATCTCCATTTCCGGCAGTGCCTGGCCATCAGACACCAATTTGTGACGCAGTTTTTCCAGGGCATCACTGGCATTGGAGATGAGCTCCCGTATAAACACCTATGGGACAGAAGTACTTACAATAGCTCAAAGTCAGGGATCTGCTACAGAATACCCACACTCCAAATGCAGACCTCATGCTGTGATCAAGGCAACTCCTCTGGCTATGTGGTCACCAAAGTTGGCTCACTTCTCTCCAGCACAGCTTTCTGTGGTAGACCGACTCCTAGTGATCCTTTCTTTCAGGGTTTTCAGTCAAGCCCAAAGTTATGTGTCCATCTGTCAGCTCAGACTTTACAACTCCAGGAGGGGCCCTTTCTTTCCTGATTCTTACACAGGAACAACAAAACATCCCCTTGAACTTCTGTTCTCTCCTATTCGTGAGTGGGGGTCAAACACCAGTCTCCACCTTCCAGAGAAAAGAAGGCCATGGGCCCAGGGTCCTCCCAGGGTCTTCACCTCACACAGCTCTCATATAAAGCTGTGGCAGCACACAGGTGAGTCTCGGGAGGCAGGGACAGGACCAAACAAGACCTAGGAATGTTTCCTGAACACTCTGCAATGTGGTGCTTTACCCTTCAAAATCTTCTTAGCATCTGTATGACTTAGCATGAAACCAGAAGCCTATTTTTTCTCTTTTTCTAAGTCCTACTGCCCCTAAATGACTTTATGTTATGTTGTCTGTTTATTTGAGACAGGGTCTCGCTACATAGCCCAGGTTGGCCTCAAACTTGGGATGCTTCACCCTTACTTTCCCAAGTACTAGGATTATATGTGGACATGGTGTCCCCCAAATAAATTTTAATCCCTTCAAAAAGTTCCTTTGTAACTCTCTCTGAGATATACCACACAGGGCCAGAGAGTCTTTCTCCTCCAGTTGCTGAAGCCACACCAGACAGAGGTGAATAAACTCAGGAGCCTCAGAGCACACTCACAGTGCTATAGGAACATAGCCCAGTAGAGCTCTAGGGGAGTTTTGGGAGGATTTAAAAATTACTAGAGAAATTCAATTAACTCCCAGAGTCAATCTAAAGAACCATCTGGATACACTTATCCATGGAACTCAAACAGGTTTTCGGTAAAGATACTCTGCTGGTGGATTAAGATCAGGGGCTGTTCACAGCCTAATGATTCTCACAGCTTAAATACACAACCGGATGGTATAAATGCAGTTTTTCCAGGACCCGTGCTAGCACTGGGAGTGATGAACTAGCACCCTACCTCTTTTTCTGAGTACAAGGAACGGGCCACAATATCCAAAAGCTTCTTTGTCTCTGCCTGGAACTCGTGTTTGGAGGCTGAACCTGGTAATGAACCACAGACACACAATCAATAAAGCTCTATTTCCCCCTTTGTGGAAGAACATGCTATGTGCCTGCCATTCAAAAGAAGGTTTAAGTGGTGGGGATGAACCTAATCAAGGTACAATGAAAGGGTATGTAGAAATGTTACAATGAAACATCATGTACAACCAATATATGCTAATAAAAATGCTTATAAAAAAAAAGAATGTTTGGAATGCTGAGCTTAATTTTTTTTTTCTTTTTGATGGTGCTTAGGGTTTGAACTCAGGACCTCACACTTGCTTGGTGGTGCTCTACCACTTGAATCATGCCACCAGCCCTTTTTCCTTTAGTTATTTTTCAAGTAGGGTATCACATTATGCCTGGTCAGTCTGAACCCAGTTTACTGTTTACCGTTTACTCACAGCGAGGATGATGGTGCATGCCACCACACCCAGCTTTGTATTGGTTGAGATGGGGTCTAGAGAATGCTTTGCCTGGCTGGCCTGGGATCTTGATTCTCCTGAGCAGCTAAGATTACAGGCATGAGCCACTGTGCCCCCCCCCTTTTTTTTTTTTTGGCTCCCTCTATGTAGCCCTGGGTGGCCCTGAACTCACGATCCTGCTGCCTCAGCTGGGATTACACCATCACACCTGGCTACTTTTTTTTGTTGTCTCCCCATTCACAGTAAAGATCAGGCATAAGGCCTGGACTGAGGTGTATATGGGGTAGATTTACTTTGCCTCCTCCTTCTACACAGTCAATGTAAGAACACAGCCTGTGGTAAGCATCAGGAGGCTACACCTGGATACTTCTAAGTATCTTTGAAGGATACAAAAGGAGATAAGGACAGAGAAACAGAGCCTCTCAGATAACAGATCTCAGGAGCAGGACACTGAGTGGCTCCTGTCTCCACAGAAAGGGGCACATGGACAGTAAGTTCTCTTAGTGCTGAGGTCAATCAGGCCTCCAGTGGACTGTGGAGGTTGATTTCCCAAAGCCCATGGTTGTGAGAATTGGGTTGGCCCTAACAACAACCAGACCCTGCACTATTCTTCAAAAGAGCAGTGTTCTAACAAATTGTTTAAAAAGCAAAATAACAAGAAAACATCACTTCTCTTCCTAGCATCAACAATTTTGTTCTTGTCTCACTTAAAAGCCAGAAATGGAAGCACTTGGACCTGGTCCTGGAGATGGCCTTTCTATGTGGAGAATTCCATCCTGCATCAGCTGGGCCAATACTCAGTTTCCATCCAGTTTCTGTGATTACTAGCAGATGTGCCATGAATGGTCACTTGGCAGATTCCCGGGTGACCACCAGAGGGGGCAAGACGCACCAGGACAAAGCCAAAAGCTCCTTGCTTGGAGGGAAATGAAGGATACTTGCATTTGCCACCAGCAGGTGGCACCATCCTTACCACCTCTGTCGTAAAAATTGCCCTTCCTCACAGTGAGCAAGAGACTGCCTTCCCAGACCCAACGCCAGCTGAGCACCCACCCTGCACTGTCTCTGTGCTGCTGATGATGGAATGCAGGGCCTCCTCCTTCTTGTCCTCGGCAGCCTGAGTGCTATACGGCCGTCCCACGTAGATGCTTGAAGCCAGGTTTCGCCTGGGGCCCCTGAACTGCACTGGGATCCTCTGAGGACACACAACTGGGTTTCCTGGAAAGACAAACCACACAGAAGGGACAAGAATACTCAGAAGCAGAATGCATTAACTTGTTCACAACTTGTGAGTCCAGCAGACTAATGTGGAGCTCTCAGGGTCAAGCTCGAGTGGAAAGCAGCTGTGCAGCTGTTGCTGTGTCACCCTGTAGTTTGGGGAACATTTCCTCCATGTGTCATATGTCAAGGGTTTTACTGAAAAACAGCCAGTGATGCATTCTCCCTTTAGCCAGGAGGCTTGCTTGCTGCAATTTCCAGTTCAGCCTAGTGGGCCCCAAACCCTTGTAACAGCAAAGGAAGACAGCAGCTCACCCACCAGCATGGTGTGTCTCCACCTGGTGCTATTCACAGACTCAGACTCAGCCTTCACTGCCACAGAGACCGTGCAGACCCAGAGTATGGACTGGGTTGAGCTATCGAATGATGCCAGCAGATCAGGGCACCGTAATGCTTGGCTGATGTTAAGTGTGTGATGGTTCAAGGACAGGCAGTCAGTCAACAAGGCATTCATGTGAATGGCTGGACAGAAGTGAATGCATCTTCCTGCCAGGGACTGCTCTTCTTGCAAATTAGTAACTGATGGAAAGGAATGATGCAGAACATCCAGAAATAGGTGGAAGGTTTTAAAAACTAACTTCCACATTCCTATAAGGTACAAAAAGTTGCCTATTCTTGGATTTATGAATAATACAATCCTGGACTTTATTTCTGTGCAGAAGACCTTGAAAACACCCACATCAACTCAGAAAATGTTTAATTTCCATTGAATATAACAGTGTAAATATTTAATTATCTGGGCCCACCTAATTGCACCATTCACTTTATACAGTTTTTTAAAAAAAACTGGGGTATTCTGGAATTAGGTGATTGGAATTGTTATCACAGAATTTCAGTCTACACGAGGCTGACTGGCAGGAGGTCTTGTGCTCTAGCCTGGCCTCTCACCCCAGGCCAGCCACCCATGAGACCACAGGAGGGAAGGGTCTTAGAGCTGCCCAGCAGAGGATGGGCAGCTATGCTACCATGCTGCTCACCAGGGACAGCATGGAGCATACATGGGAGACACAGGGCTGCTCTAAAGTGCTGTGGGACATGTGAGGCCTGCAATAGAGATATCAGGGGAGGACAGACCTGAGTTCAACCTTCAGGAAGGGACAGGATGGGATGCAGACTCAAGTTCTACACCCAGCACTAGGACCCGATGACTCACCAACTGACTCTGAACGTCCGGGCTGTGAGCATGAGGCCAAGGGAAACCTCCAGGGCAGAAGAGCAGAGCTCAGTGAGTAAGGGCTGCTGTGTCCCTTGCCTCCATAGATGCTCCAAGTGTTTAAGACAGTCTTACAACATGCACTCCTGCTGGAGAGCTGGCAGGCACACCCCGGACACCTCTTACCACCATCCCTGCCAACCACTCCTTATACTTAGAACTGGAAAGGCCAGGGGCAGGGTCTCTCAAGTCTTCACCTAAGCGGTAACATCCAGCAGTATAGCATCACTGTAGCAAACTCGAAGCTCTGAGTTCAAACCCCAGTACAAAAAAAAAAAATGCAATGACATGGCTATGTGGTACAAAGACTGTGTGACTGAACTGCACATACACCTTAATGCTTCCTGAGGGACATCTCATAATGAAACAGACATGGAATACCATCAACACTCACCACACTCACAAAGATTTGTCTGCACACCCCAGGCACTGGGTGCCCTACAGACTCTGCTGGAGGAGCACTGAGTGGCACATCTCTCCCTGCCTTGGGAAATAACTGTGCCTTAGCAACTTGGGGCACACAAAGGGGCCAGTAATTCCAATTAGCTGCATGTCAGGAAATACACAAAAGAATTTAAGATAGAACGTCAGGTGTGGTAGCCTGTAATTCTAGCTACCCCAGAAGTGGAAATGAGGAAGACTGCAGTTTAAGGCCAGCCCAGGCAGAAAGTTTGTGAGGCCCAATCTCAACCAATGGCTGGGCACGGTGGTACATGGCTGTCATTCTAGCTCCACGGGAAAGCACAAACAGGACCGAGGTCTAGGCCAGCCAAGGCACAAAGCAAGACCCTATTTCAAAAATAACCAACACAAAGCCAGGTGCTGGTGGCTCACACCTGTAATCTTAGCTACTTGGGAGGCTTAGATTGGGAGGACTAAGGTTTGAGGCCAGCCCAGGCAAATACTTCTAGAGACCTCATCTCCAAAATAACCAGCACCTGCTTTTCAAGCACATAAGACCTGAGTTCAAACCCAAGTCCCATGAGGGAAAAAAAAAAAACAAACAGAGGCTGGTAGAGTGACTCAAGAGGTAGAGTACCTGCTTATCAAGCCCCAAGAACCAACACAACCCCCTCCTCCAAAAAAAAACCCAAAACAGCTGGGCACCAGTGGCTCACAACTATAGTCCTAGCTACTCAGAAGGAAGAGATCAGGAGATCACAGTTCGAAGCCAGTCTGGGCAAATAATCTGAGAGACCCTATCTCAAAAAACCCAACACAAAAAAGAGCTGGGGGAGTGGCTCAAGTGGTGAGAGTGCCTGCCTAGCAAGCATGAGGCCCTGTACAGAAAAAAAATTAAGAGATATTAACACAACAGAATAAGTAAAGTGGTGAGAACTAATGAACTATAGCCTTAGCAGGGAAAAAGCTAAGAAAACATATTGCTAACAAAAGAAAAACAAGTCACACTGGTACATGCCTATAATCCCAGCACTGGAGAGGCTGAGGTGGGAGGATGGAAAGTTCAAGGCCACCCTGGGCTACACAATAACATACTATCTTAAAAAAAAAAAGATAATTAAACAAATAAATAAATGTAGGGCAAAGTGTAGTGGCTCACAGCTGTAATCCCAGTTACTTGGGAGGATGAATGGTGGTTTGAGACCAGCATGGAGAAAAAGTTAGCAAGACTGCATCTCAACTAATAAAACTGACTGTGGTGGTAAATGAGACTTAAACAGAAGAACCACGGAGGCCCAGGAGACCCCATTCCAAATAACTAAAGCAACAAAACAAAACAGGGCTCGGGCACGGCTCGGGTGGCAGACTGCTTGCCTAGAAAGCACATGGTCCCGAGCTCAAAAAATCCATCACCACACACAAAAAAGTCCCAGTGGCAGAATACACCTAGCATGAGCCTAACAAATGGTTTATAAGCCCATACGTGTATCTTTTCACATACACACAGAAATTTAAAGAACGTAAACAAAAACTAAAATCGAGACTAGCAGGCACCACTGGGTGAGGGAAGAGATGCAGCAGGGCCACAAGTCTGGTGTCAGAGGTATGGCAGAAAGGGGCTTCTCACTGCACACACCGCCTTCTCTCTTCAGTTGTTCTACAAGTACCAAGAACCTAGCTACAAAATATCCATTTATAAACTACTTACAGAAATTACCTCCTTCAACACTTACAGCTTTTACTAGAGACATAAAACACATTTACAGAAGGATGTAGCTTGGGGAAGCACGCCTGAATAGGAAGAGTAAATATTCTGTTTTGGTTTTTGAGGCAGGCTCTCACTATGTAGCCCAGGCTGGGCCCAAACTCGTGATCCTCCTGCCTCAGCCTCCCCAGTACAGAGAAGGAAGCATAGACATTTAAAGAGGTTGATTCTCTCTCATTTTTGTTTTGGGCGGGGAAAGAGGTGCTAGCACTGGGATCAAGCTCAGGGCCTCGCTCACACTAGCACACTCTAACACTGTTACACCTCCACCCCTGAAGTCTGTATTTTTAACATGATTCCAGTGAAAACTCACAAAGGATCTTTTAAATTTTGTTAACAATTACTCAAACTAATTCTCAAGTTTATATGAAAAGGCAAATGTGCACAGCCAAGCAAATTTTGAAAAAGTGAAGTACCACTGATATTAGAGCACCTTAATATAAAGAGCTGTAGTAGCAAAATCAATTTCCCCTCTCGTTATTAAGTTAAAGCAAACTCACATTTCCTATGTGGGGGGCAGGAAATGCTTCTCTTTTTTCTACCACTTCTCCCTATTTCATCCTGTCATACTAAAATAAATCATTGCTAAAACATAAATAAAAAAAAAAAAATCCCACATGGGCCATAATAGTAAAAACAAAAGCTAAATTACTGTAAAACATAGATTAAAAAAAAAAGCTTTAATGAGATATAATTCACATGCCACACAATTTCCCATTGAAGTATGTACCATTCAATGGTTTCTAGTACATTTACCAAGTTGTGCAACCATCACCACTACCTAATTCCAGAACATTTTATCACTACCCTCAGAGTTAAAAAAAAAAAATTTAAGAGTGAGATAACTCTTTCTAAACAAGACACGTAACCCATGAAGCCATAAACCTAAGAACCACATGAACGTCAACAAATACACTAGGAAAATCCTGAAACACTGTGTTGTTTCAACTAATACACCAGGAGCACTTGCAAACCTCTAAGAAAGGCCAAGAGCCCCAAGGAGAAATGGCAACTCACAAAGAAAGAAACATTAGTGGCTTCAAATCATAGAAAAAGATGTTTGAGCCCAGCGTCAGTGGCGCACGCCTGTAATCCTAGTACTTAGGAGGCAAAGGTCAGGAGGACTGAGGTTTGAGGTCAGCCTCAGCAAATAGTTTGCAAGACCCTATCTCAAAAACACCCATCACCAAAAAGGGCTGGTGGAGTGGCCCAAGGTGTAGGCCCTGAGTTCAAACCCCAGTACCACCGAAAAAAAAAAGTTTAACCACATTCGTAAATAAAGAATGCTTTAGCATGGTAAGGGTGGGAGAAACTTTTGGCAGTGCTGTGATTACACAGAACAAAACAAGCTTGAAAACATCTTAAAATGGAGAGGGTTACACATGTGAAGGCACAGTCACACTCAGAGTTAACAGGAAACGGCCCTCGTGGACGACGGACGACGGGTTCTTCCACTACAGCTCCTTTCTGAGGGCGTGTGGGTGTACATGTATGCTGGTGGGCAGGGCATGAGTGTCAGGGTGCGCGATGGTTTTCTCTGTGCCAGTCTGTTCTGTAAAA